TTATACAGTACATATATTTGATTATTCATTCTACTTTAATTAAAAATTACATACTAATTTATTTTTAATACTTAAAAAATTTTAAATTCAAACAAACTTAAATATAGTTTTTTTTTTGGTAACCTCAATTCAAAAAGAAAAGAAGAGTTTTCTATATATAAAATTAAATTTTAAAAAATAGATATGCTCAGTTGAAACTCCGCACAAATACGGAGTGTCACTGCGGACTCGACATTGTGCGCACTCCGTACAATGAGGAGTCTGCACTAAGCGGAATCCGCACGCAATTGTACAGAGAGTGCATTAATATGGACTCCGTACAATATGCGGAACATGTGCTCCGCACAATACAGATACTTCGCACACAGAGAAATGAGCCCGTGTCTCCGCACAATGCGGAGACATAAGAGTCATGTCTCCGTACAATGCGGAATCTTGAATTTTTTTTAATTTATAAGTCTCGTACGTACATGACTTCAGTTTATATTACAGAATTAGGTTTGCCTATACATGTCTTATGATTTTGTTGTAGATTATTCTTAGAACGTAAAAAAAAAAAGAGAGAAAAACCGAAGACTATAAAATATCTTCTCTCAAAACATTAAAAAAAAACAAAAAAAACTTTCAAAAAAATAATAATAGGTGAGCTCCGCACACACAGCATAATAATTGGTGCGGAGATGCGGAGTTGGCTCCGCATTTTTTAAAAAGTTTAAATGTTTTTTAACTGATTATTAAACAAAATGAACAAGAAAGAACCAACTTGATTTCTCTAGACTCCAGTAAAGCCCTCCACCCCTCCATTTGCTCTTTTTTTCTCTCTCTCTCTCTCCTTGTCTCCTGAATCACTCTAATTCCGCCACTCCAAGCTCTCTCCTGACTTCTGTGCTCTTTCTACCCATCCTCAGTCCTTTCTAGCCTTTCCCACAGGGTTCACAAGACACGACAGTGACGATTTGTCCATTGGCACCACTCCGCGACTGACGGTTACGACTCCAAGATCCACACCTCCAACTTCTAAACTCCGCCCGTTCTCACTCTTCTCTAACTTCTCTCGATCTCCAACGCTCTGGTAAGGTAAGTTTTTCAGCCATTCGACCACTGACAACCCTCACTTTCGATAATTTACCAAATTGTTGTGTTAACTACTATGTGTATAATGTATTTGTGAAACTGTATTTCTTAACTTTTACTGAGGTAAATGAATACGGTTAATTTATTCAGTTTAATTGTGTTTTTTGGGGATTTAGGAATTTAGGGTTTTTTTGATTCAGCGATTTAGGATTTTATTGTAAATTGATAGTTATGAATTTTTAATTAGCACAGAGCAGATGCTACAATTCCCTGTAAAGAAAAAAAAAAAAGAGTGGCGGATCCTTAAGTAATTCGCTTGATTGAAGCAAGGGAAGTAAATATCAAGTCATTTATCAAATTAATTACACAATTTTGGTCTTCAATGGTTTAGCGTCCAGCATCCCCACTCCTTTAGAAAATCAAGTAGTTTTTGTTTCAGAAAACTAGCAAAAGGTTTTTATAATAAACTCTCTTGCCTCCTGGTTTTCTTGCGATGTGAGAACAAAACAGAAAATGTAACTTACAGCATACCACACTGTCAAAGTCTCAGATCGCGTCAAATTCCAATCAGTGGACTCGTTAGTCATAAAGA